CCGAACCAGTCGACGAATCCACCAATCGCAGGCCTCTCAAACACTAGGATCGCGTGTTAGACGAATCGCTGTGTGTTTATCGCGTGTTTTATTACGATATTTTACAAACGCTGTCCGGTGAATATGACTGTCTTCTGGAATGTTTCACCGCGTACTCTAGCAGCTATTGAATGACCTGATGATGGTGACACTAAGCACCTCTGTAACGTCGGTCAACAGCTACACGGCGTAATATGCAATATCCCAGAAGACAACCATCTTCTTATTGGCTAGGGTTAAATTAACTGCGGAATCCTTGAAATTTCACCAGCGAATCAGACATGAAACCTCTACTCACCGTACACCCTCATATCCGCCGAGTGGCTCACCTCACCCACTCGGTTTGTCGCAGTACACCGGTAGATACCGCCATCTTCAACCTGGACGTTGCTGATATTCACGTGACTGATGACGTCACCGTGAAGAGTGACGTATTGACCAATAACAAACCTGCAGCGGAAAGCAACGCAGGTCATTATTCGTGCGAGTAACATTCAAAAGTTTCTATATTCTTGGCTGATTCTAGGATGCGTTTGTTTCCCCATGTCCCTATTATTAGTACAGGAACAGGAAAACTGTTTTATCGAGGTCCCGAATTTGCATCAGTTGCAGTTTGAAATGCAATACATATGTTAGCTCAATTTGCATAATTTCACATAAAACGTTTCGAAATTAATAGAAACTTTGTCTGAGATAAGGGCTCTGATGGCGGTAAAGATGTCAAGATGTCTTCTTCGTTGCAACTCCATGTGAACAGACTGAATACCTGAAGATGGAGGTAGTGTGGACTTCTGAAACATTGGTATCAACCAACAAGTCCACACAAAGTTACGATCCTGCAATATTCTTCCATTAGAAACTAGTAAAGTTAGGGATTTATGCAAAATGTTTCTCAAATAGTGGATAGCGATCCATTTCCTAGATGTGAATCTTGTATATAGATGCCTTTCCTCCTGGGACACCCTGTATAAAGCTTCAGTTACTTTAAAAGAAGTACGTGGATGCCTTTGTCTGTATTTCCTTATGCTGTATGTATATATCCAGAATGTAATAAGTTAGCTATTGTGCTCATCCACGGTAAGTGAACGTCATTTTGTTCGTTCAAATTAATGTCTGGACGTGACACCTTTCAGTGATAATCTAGATATGCTGTTATTATCTCGCGTTCCTCCAACCACGGTTCCTTAGTATTGCTGCTTTAAGTGAGAGAGAACAGTTAGATGCATTAAGTAAATTACGTCAGAACTATGTCACGTCAAAGCTGCGAGGCAGGCTGGCATGAATAAATAAGCACATGCAGAATGAGCTTGTTTGCTTCCTTACAGAAAACTCACTCCGATTGAAACCACAACGACACGCCTAAAATATTCAGAATTTCTAACACGTTACGACACAAATAATTCCAAAAATCTCAATTTATCAGGCTTTAACCCTTTAAACGCCACGGTGGTCTAGCGGTTAGAACGCTGGCCTTGTAATCCTGGGGGGTCTCGGGTTCGATTCCCGGCGGTGCCCGAATTTATAACTTGTGCTGGGCAAGGCCGTGGTCTAGGCAACACGGAGTTTTCCTCCGGAGGCTTCCCGGTTTCTCCGTGGCATCCCAACAATTACTCCATTCACACACAGAAGAAGGCAATGGCAAACCACTTCTGGATCATCTGCCAAGAACGTATATGAACAGGGCCCAGTCCGAGAAAAAGATGGAAGGATCCTGTTCATATGGACCTAGCGTCAGACAGAACACTAAATAATAATAATATAACCCTTTAAAATGTAGTTATACCTGCATGTATCACGTAATTCGACAATTACCAAAGCTTCATCTTATGGATTTGAAGTTCTAAGTTACCATAACAGGTCACTCTCCAAAGGAAAGCTGTTTCATAAAAATCGACCAATCAGCGACTATTAACTGATGTTCGTAACAGCTTATGACGACGAACGGACGGACAATCAAATTAAGGAACTACAACATTCAGAAGACGTAATTTTCTGTGTGTAAATCTCCACGTACCTGTCGTTTTGCGGTAGAGGGAATCCGTCCAGATGCCACGTGATATGAGGTGTGGGATTCCCCGTCGCGATGCACTTCAGCGACACAGGAGGTCCTGGCTGCATGGTCTGGTGGATGAATTTGTACAGAAGTTGAGGTTGAGCAGCTACAATGCAAGAAATATACCTTACCTTAAAAATGTAATTGGAGCACATCTGGGATTCCTTAAAAAAGATTTATGCGTATTATCTATTTTCGTAACACGAAACACGAAAATACACCTCGTGGGCACTCCACGGTGCACGAGCACCTGTGCGTCTGTCTTCCACCCAACATTACGAACGTTCAGGCTGAAAGTTCGTAAGTAAACAGCATAAATTATTTTTTCCCATAAGATGACAGGGAATTCTAAACACATTTTCAAATGAAAAATCAAACTGAATTCAGAATGTATTTAATATTGAAGTCCTCTTCGGTTTTTTTTTTCACAGGGCCTACCTGCATGCATCATTTGAGATTAAACATAAAATATTCAAGGCACTGATATACAGGATGTGCCATTTAAAACGCTTCCCTACAACGATATAAAATAAGAAGTGATCTCAACCAACCCTCCCGGTGACACTCAATCAAAGCTACCTTGGTTACTAGGTTGTTGTAGTGTAACCAAATACCATGGCCGCCAAGATTATCGAACTTACGACTCCACTGATCTTCCAATTACAGAGTTTTACGAAGAATTGGTGGATTCGTATGTGCGAATCGTGTGTCGAAACAGCACTGAAAGCCTCACACAGTTATTAGAGGAAGTCCTGCTTAGGAGGATTTTTACAGGAATGGACTACCATCGGGATATATGCCACGTTATTAAAGACCTCGCACAGATCCTTCTAAACGTTTTGGACAAACACTGTCATTTGGTAGCACAAATTTAAAATGTTTGACTTCAATATGAGCGCTGAAAATATTAAGTTTACAAGTAATCATAGCCTGTAAAACTGTGGATTGGATTGAAGTAGCAATGTCAATTGAATACGGACGACTAACGAAAGGACGCATAATATAAAGCTGGATAGTTAGTTATGAAAGCAGTTAGGGTGTCTCATTTAACAATCAAATATGGCGGACAGTGGGCAATACTTTTAAAATACAACCTCTAACGACAACTAATATTTCTTTCGGGGTAAAGCAAAGCATGAACCATCTTTCCGTGACATGTAATTCGTATGTTTATAATATATACATTAATACACAAATTCTTAGTGTAAATTAGGCGTAACTGATTTGTCGTCGTCGTCGTAATTTGGAACACGCTGAATATATTCAGGCTGTAGAATACAAAGTAAGGTTCCCTCTAAAATAGAAAAGATTTGAGATGAAGACTTTTCCAGAAGCTTCTTGAATTATTTATTCAGCAAGTTTAAGTTTAATATGGTTCTGGAGATTGAAACTGGTATAGAAGTACGTTGTGTACATACATAAAGAGAACACAGCACCACATACTATTTTCATCTGATGGAAGGCAGAAGATTTTAATAACAGTCCAACTTTGCAGGGCACGTTCTTGTCAAAATTAATTACTCTGGTCTAAAAAAAAACCCTTCATTTTTCAAATAATAAAAGACACAAATATAGTAGCATCAAACATTAAATCTTGCCATTTTAAATCTTGAGATAAGATGCTTCCAGAATATCAGTCTGCATCAAATAAACAGAACGTGGGAAAGGTAAGAACAAAAATTCCTCTTAGCACGTATAATAAATAAAATTTTGTTTTAATATATTTATATTCTCAAATTGACAGTTTCGACTCCGAACAGATCCGAGGTTTAATCGAACGCAGATTTCTCTCGGCTGTTAAAATCTCCTAAATATTATTGCACAGAAATATAACAGTTCCACATCCTTCATCTTCCGGTTCGACATTTGAAATAATTCTTTCATTAAAATTAAATTATTTGGTTATTCCGTCAAATCACAATGTATTTAAAATAAGATAATTAAAATAAATTTTAATTTAATAAGTCACAATATGACGCAACTACACTATCTTATAATTCTTTCACCTCATTCGTCAAATCTTAATTACATGAAGCAGATTCTTCCTTGATAAGCTGATAGTCACCCAGCCAGTTAAGAAAGCTCACTTTTATGAAAATGAAGGACACATTGCCGTATTTAGAAAAGTCGCCATCTGTCCCAATTGTGAGCCAGGTGAATCCAATCCAACGTTCCCATCTAACGTTAAATACATTCAATTAATATGACGAGAAAAATATCGGTAAGGAATATAGTCAAGTTAAAATATATAATAAAATTCAGGTCAATACACAAACCTTTATTTGGATGTTAAAATTTAAAATTTAAATGTTAAAATTTTAAATTTTAAATTTGCGCCATTCATCACTATAAGGATGTTACATTAGAGCGCTTTTCTTTCATTTCACAACATGTTTCGATGTAATGCATCATCTTCAGGTGTTGTTTTTTTTAAAACTATTTTATATTTTAATGCATGCCTTTTAATAATTCATTATTGTAAGATGTGTTCGGCTGGTCTTCCTATTTTACGCATCTTATGCTTGTTTTGAATTATTCATAAGTCGTGTTGTGTGGTGTATGATGTAAACCTTAAAGTCAAGTTAAAGTTGGTATTTTGTACTTTTTCAATAATCAAGTTAAATTCGTAGTTTGTATGTTTTTTTTTCAGTTTTTCGCTGTCGATTTCTATGGCCTCACCCGGTCCCAGCAGGGTCAGAGGTTGAATTCATCCCATAAATTACGCTGATTCAATGACAAAACATAAAATAACCAACAACCATTTCCATTTTATCGAACATATAAGCATATCGTCCTGTCTCATTTTACGACAACGCAGTCTTTAAAGTAATCATCACGAATTAATTAAATATTTCTGGCCAAAACTTTCGCGGTGAAACATTTCAGAAAAGAAATCAGTCGGCTTACCTCCCAGCCGCAACTGCACCGAACTCTGAGCGCTGTCGTCCTCGCTGCGTACCAGACACTGGTACATACCAGCATCCTCTCTCTGGACCTTCTGGATGACAAGACTCTCCGATCCTGGACCGATGACGTGACCGTCCTTGAGCCAGGTCCGCGTTGCAGTGGGATGTGGGGAGGTACCCGTCACGATACAGATGAGTACTGCTTTGCCCCCTACGTCCACAGTGAGCTGCTTGGAAGGTTGCACGACGACGTTCAAGGGGAAGGTGACGTGTAGGACGACGTCCATGCGTTCCACCCCAGCTGTGTTGTTGGCCACACACACCCAGCGTCCCGCGTCGCCTTCCTCGGCCTGCTGGATTATGAGGCACTCGACGACTCTGTAGATACGGTCGTCTGTCTCGGGAAGAGTGCGTAGTTGGTGATGTTCTTGGCGAAACCACCTGCGGGCAAATCACTGAAATAAACCTAAGTGGCTAACACAAGGAGGCAAGCAAATAAGCTAGTATGTGACGGACTTGCTAAGTGAGAACTGAAGAAGATTTCTGTCTTCTGGGTTGTTGCGCTGTGTAGTCTGGTCGATGTTAACCGACGTTTCAGAGGTCATACTGCCTCCGTCATCAGAGTATGAAGATTTCTGTCTTCTGGGTTGTTGCGCTGTGTAGTCTGGTCGATGTTAACCGACGTTTCAGAGGACATACTGCCTCCGTCATCAGGGCGAGGTTTTAAAGCTAATGTTTGAAGCTGAAGTTGAATATAACACTGACCTGATGGCAGGTGGGGGGTTGCCCTCAGCGAAACAAGGAAGCACGGCAGTCTGACCCTTGCGTACGTGAATGGACGTCTGCTTTTCCAACGGCCGTGGGGCGGAAGCGACAGGAGAGTCTAGTTGAAAGATAACACAACCCACAGCTATTATCATAATTACTACAATTATTGTTACATAGACGGTAACTTACAAAATTGTAGGTACCGACTGAATTGTTAAATGACCCATAAATATCAGATCCCAATTATGTGAAATCTTCAGATTGAAAAATTAATTTTCGTGCTTTTCTCGTGTAATATCGAATAATTTTAACAATATCTGCAATCTTTAATATATAAAGTCTGAATTAAATTTAAAACACAACCAAGAAATGAACTGATGTTAGAGGACACAACTAAAAATACTTTATATGTTACAGAAACAAGGTTTGCTGATAAAAACTGTTTTTACATCTTGGAACCAAATACATTCTTCAAGTTCCTGTTAAAATATACATTTCAGTTTTCAACGAAAGACTTCCTGAAAATATTGAAGTAGGAAAGATGGACTCTCTGGAACTGTGACAATAAAAATATGTTCTTCGCGCCACCTCACGCAGACTATTGTCGTAAAGATGTGATTCTTAGTTATTGTCGTGCAATAATGCGTTTCAATAGTCACCTCCTAGGGAAAATTCCAGAAACAGACGAACATGCAGAAATTGACGCTCCCATAAAATTAAGTTTGCTGGCGCTAGACACCGAAATTCACCTCAAATTACACCTACGAAACAACAAAATTAGATACTGCGATGAAACCCACTCTAAAATTATGCAGACGTAATTGAACTTCCGTTTTTAGAGGGAAAAAAAAATCTTTTTTATAATTTACAATTTTTTTTTATAAAATAACAAACAAGTCCGTACATAAATATTAAAAATTAAAATAAAATCTTAGAGTAAGTTCTTTTATACGTAATTCCCAGAATAAAGACAAACACAAGGAAACACGAAGATTTCTGTCTTCTGCGTTGTTGCGCCGTGTTATCTGGTAGAAGTTTACATACGTTTCAGAGATACTTGCTGCCTCCATCATCAGGGCGATGATAACCTTGATGATGGAGGCAGCACGTACCTGTGAAACGTAGGTAAACTTCTACCAGATAACACGGTGCAACAACGCAGAAGACAAGCCATCTTCGAACTCACTACCGTGGAAACCTCAAATCCTACTAAGAATAATACGTTAATCTTTATATTTTATACAATTTCATTGTTTTGAATAGAGATAAGCGTTTGAAAAAGTAGAACGCAAGAATTTAAAACTACGGCTGGTTCACGATACCGTCATGTCTGTTTATAATTGATGTAAGATTTAGAAAATTTCATATTTCACAGCTGAGCACTGATCTCGCCTTTATTTCTTTCCGCATTCATATCAATGAATTATAAATGTATCTCCTGCTTTCAAACACTACAAAATGTACGTGAACACGAAAGATACGAAATTTCTTCCTGCGAGTGCGGCTAAGTGCCGAGTCACAGGAGAATTCGAACTGAGGTCTGAGATTTTGAGATCGCGCTGGCTGGTCACAACGTAAACTGGTAACGGAGCAGAGTTCTGGTAAATGGCTGGCAGGAAGAATCCAGTTACTAGGAGGAAAACAGAAATGTTCCTGTTTTACCCTGCCCACGCGGAATTAAACCCTAGCTTCAGAAGTGAAATGCTTTAGCGTTAACTGCATGAGCTATAGCTCAGTCTTGTGAAAATGATATGAAATCTTAATCTCATTTGCACATAACTTCGAACTGATGCCTATCGTTACATGAAATAGCCGTTTTATATGAACAGCTCTTGCACGGTTTCAGGTTTCGTCGAAAGCAATTAGATTTAAACCGTATTACTTCGGCAATCAGGGGCACCTATTTAGTTGCAAGATTGAGCTGAAGTTTCAATAATCTCATTTCACAGAGGATTACCTAGATTTATGCAACATTTTATGGAAATCTGCTGGAAGTAATGTGATGACTTCGCAACATGAAAAACAGAAAAGCTAATACGTAATACTGCATATTCAATATCGAGTATATTTATATACAGGAATTTAACTGTTTTAATACAAATTACTTGAATTGAATAAAAATTTACTTGGATATTATCCATCGTCTAGTAATAAAACGTAAAAAACGTAAAACGACGTTTCGGAGATGGGGCTCTATCTCCGTCTTCAGGTTCCTACTCAGTTGGGCCCACTAGATAGAGCTAATCCCTATCTCCGGACAAATTAAAAAGTGAAAGTCCCAAAATAAAAAGGCATTAACACACCATCCATCCGTGGGACGTAAAAGAATAGTATGTAGAAAACAAAATTCATAAACACGAATAAATTCGTATTCTGTATTTGAGTGTACGTGTTTTGAGCCAAGAATAAATTCGTGTTTATGAATTTTGTTTTCTACATACTATTCTTTTACGTCCAACGGACGGATGGTGTGTTAATGCCTTTTTATTTTGGGACTTTCACTTTTTAATTTGTCCGGAGATAGGGATTAGCTCTATCTAGTGGGCCCAACTGAGTAGGAACCTGAAGACGGAGATAGAGCCCCATCTCCGAAACGTCGTTTTACGTTTTTTACGTTTTATTACTAGACGATGGATAATATCCAAGTAAATTTTTATTCAATTGACTCTTCACCATCGTCAAGAAGTTTTAGATTTGATATACAAATTACTTGGCTCAAAACACGTACACTCAAATACAGAATTTGCATAATGATACAAACACTATTATGATGAACAAATAAGGATATAGAATATTGTTTAAAAATTACCTGGAAGGTAATTTTTAAACAATATAACAATTGTGTTTTTGTGTGTATTTGAGTTCACATCTTGGCTCCACAAATTATGGTGTAAAATTCAAACTGTTGATTGGAAAAGAGTGACTAAGATTAAACGCTGTTCCAGGGGAATACCACGAGAATCCATCGTAATACAAAGAGGTTAGTGCCAATCAGTCACAATTATTTTCTCCGAAACTTTTGAGATCCAGCATTTACTTTAAATTATCTCAATAATTTTCAAGGAATTTTCCAGTTGTGAAACTACATTTCATCATTTAACTAACCTAAGTTGATTGTACCGACGAATATTGTTGTACTAACTACAGAAGTTCCTCTTTGTACGAAGAACCGCCATTAGCAAGAGAGAGAATGCAAAGAAACGTTACGTCGTTACATGCAAATATTCTGGAGCAGACGATAACAACTCAGCTCCAGACTACACAATCTATTTCTTGTATGACTAACTTCCAAGACAGCGCCGTGATACGAGTCTCTAATCGATTAGCGCCGCGATACGAGTCACCAATCGATCAGCGCCGCGATACGAGTCTCCAATCGATCAGACGCGCCAACATGCTTCGAGTTACAAGTAATACAAAACTCGGCGCTGTAATGAACAAAGACTGAGGATGTTAAACGACGTTGTTTCTGCAGGAGGTGAACTCTTTTAAACTTCGTAGAAATTGTATTAAATAACTATCAATCAACTGACCGAACGACTGAACAAACGACCTATGGAAGATTTCCGATTATCCGGACAGTTTGGGAAATATATTTTCTCGGATAATCCGCAAAAATGAACAACGCGCAAGTTTATTTAAATTCAAATATGAATTGAATTTCTGAAGATTTACAAATAACAGAAATTATCTTATATAAAACTTAATACAGTACATACAGACCATTTTTTAAAAAAGATTCCAACGGATATTAATAATGTTTTGTTGGCGTAATCATCGGGTTTTGGTAAAAACCAATTTACGTTAATAGGTTAAATAATATATCATTGTTTTATTGATTCCTTTATTTTTAAACGCTGTAAATTCTACAACACATTTTATAAATTAATTTCTAATTTTTATTGAGCTCAGATAAACATCAGTTAATCCACCCCCGAAAAATCTAGAGTATCATATGATAGCTTAGTCGTGATGAACCTGCTTATTCATCGCCGAGACAGTAAAGGCGGTAAGCACCTCTGAAACGTCGGTGATTTTCTACCAGAATACACGGTGCTACATCCTAGAAGACAGTCATCCTTCATACTCGCGCAGTGAGAAGCCGACATTTTATTATATCAGAAAATATTCCCTTCCTTTCGCGAGTCCAATTCAAAAGTAAAATATTACATACCCCAGAATCGTAAAGGTCTATTAACGGCAAATCACTGTAATAATTAGGTCGTAAAAGTCTCATTAGTTTGTTTGTATGTATTGAGATTTTTGCATTCGTCACAAACACGCAATTCTTTTGAGATTAGAATTTCTCACGGTGGTAAAGAAATCTTTCTTGAGTTATGACGCTGTGTAGACTCGTAGGTAGGTGACAACGTTCTGGAGGAACATACTCTCTCCATCTTCAGCGCTGACCCATGTTCATGTTTCTTCAAACGTGCTTACTACATAAATCATTGTACGAGTATAATATGCTTGTAGAATTTGTGCAAAATATAAAATTCTCGGCCCCATCTTAACCTGAGACAAACGCATTATATTCCGTATTAGTACAAAGTTGCTACACAAAATAAGAATTTTTATCCTAAACATTTATTTTCTACTGAGTAGACCTACCATAAGGAACGTCCAGAATTCCCCCAAATAACTTCTATTGCAACATCCCGTCACTATGCCGTCACCCTGGTCCAATTAATTACAATAATCACAGTTTATCCGAGATTGATATTAATATTATCATCTCATATTTGAGCTCCCTAAATGAATATCAGTAATAATCAATAATATCTACACGATGCGTACAAAACCGCCTTACGTCGAAATTTCTGGATTATCTGGTTATTTCACGATGCTGTTTAGACTACATATTTTGTACAGTATTGTAAGCAAGTTTAGCGAGTGGTAAACAACAAATAATGTGAAATGAGCCATGGCCTATTTCGAAGTGCTAGCCTAGAATTTACCCGAACGTACTGAAGTAACTCATTAATCATTTTGCAGTCAATTTCTGGGTTAAGACACAAGTCTGGGACCTTCCAAACACAAAAACAGGGCTGTTAGCAATTTAACTGCCATCCATGAAGCCTGAATCATTTTTTTTTTAAAAAAACTTATTACATATAGTTTCATCATTTTGAAACGTAATGGTTCAGATTGTGTCTGCATGTTGAAACGAGTAATGCGTATGTCATATTAACTTTCAGAAAGAGGCTACTTAAGATGAAGACAGAAATTTTTTTGCCAAAGGACGTGATTTATAATTAATTTATATTTCCATCTCAAGGACTAAATTATCTGATTTAAATTAGTTCCCTTTTGACGAAAATATTCTTAATTTTGTACCTAACAGTTAATACACAGGGACTCTGTTTTCATTCCAATGTAAATAATGAGTAAATATAAATACATGTTTTTCATTTTGCAAGAAGCAAATATTTATAAAACGTACTTTCTCTTAATACATTTAATAAATGGTATATACGAGTGGGTAATAATATACTTTGAGCTCTAAACAAAAAGCACGTTTCATGAAAATTTCACTGCTTTTAGTTTTATATAAGATTTTAAAATGCACGTAGAGAAGTGGACAAGGATACGTTGTAGTTTGTAAGTGAAATTTTGAAATTTGTAAATTTTAATTCTGTCCTCATATTCTTCTTCGCTTAAGACAAATTCATGTTTTCAGGTTTAACGAAAAGAATTTTAACAACACCCACTAAATCGAAATATTCCTTATAAAAGGAATTTTAGTAACTCTCACTGGAACAAATGATCCTTGTAGACGGAATTTTAATAGCATCCAAGTGTAGAGAATACACCTTGAAAACACAATTTTAATAATATGCATTGGAACAAATATTTCTTATAAAACTGTAATAAACCTAATGACAAGCTAGAGATAACTGATACAAAAAAGTTTCAGTAAACTCATCTTGTATAACCTTATAATTCAGAACAGGGCAAAGCTACCACAAAGCAGAAAATTGCAAAGACAGTAAGTTGTCGGTGGACCAGCTTTTAAGTCCCGCAATTTAGGTCTGTGCAGACACGAGTGTAGATTCGAAGTCGAAAAATTCAAAGCGAACGTCTGTCAGTGAACGCACTTAGTATCCGACAAATTAGAAGTTTTTATTACAGGGCAGGATCACGGTCTAAGCCTCTTAACGATGCTTGGACACGCGGGTTTGGTCCTTCCAAGCACTAGGTAACGATCATTGATAACTCCGTTTGAAGGCACATTCCTCGCGGCAAATCGTATTATGTTAAGTATTTACTAACCACGGAACGAATTACCACGATCTGGTAAAGAGGTTAAGAGGTTCAATTAACTGAGAACAGACTGGCAGGCGCTTACCTGAGACTGAGAACTTGGCTCGTCCGCTGCTCAATAAGGTAGCTCCGGTCAGTCGGTTGAGCACCCGACACTGGTAACTGCGGTACTTGTCTTCGTCATCCACGTGTCGGATAAGAAGCTCTCCAGATGGCAACATGTGGTACTTCCCCTCTGTCGAAATAAACAAAGGCTACGATGATATGTGACGAACTGGAGGAAGAATTTCAGAGATCGCCGAAATGATTCATGATTTCTCTGTCACCTTCATGCAGACTTTAACGTGCAAACTAAGTTCCGACAGAAGTTGTCGGACGCGTTGCTGTTGCCAGATGCTCGGCTCTCCCACGCGGAACCACGCGCAATAGGTTAGCAGTCTACAGCTACGAGTTAATTCGAGCCCAAGTGCGTGGAACGCCATTTGTGGTCTCCTTTTACAACCACAAAGATTTCATTGTCCCACAGCAATGAACGTCCGCTTTCAGCCACAGTCACTTGGGTTTCCCTAGCTGCATCTCTATTAGATTAGAAACAACCACCACCCAATAAATTGGCTTGTTTACTGGATTATTTCACGATGTTGCATGAATTAATTGAAATATATTTAAAGGTGGTATTTCGTAGTTTTCTTGTGTATACCGCTGTAAAAAAAGCAACGTGGTTTATACATGATACAGTAACAAAATATGACTTTTGTATCGGCGTGAAACTTCGTCTGTCATATTACACGAAGACCAAAGTTTAATGGACAATACAGAGTTGAGAAGAATATTTTAATGTAAAAGTGAAAATGTAACAAGAACCCCTATAAAATTGTACAACGACAATTCTCATAATTTGTAATTGTATGGAGAAGTGTTGGGTCACATAGCATGGAATACCTGAGATATATACGCAGAGATGAATACAGGCTGAGTCAAAAGTATGTTTACAAACTTTGTGTGCGTGTTCTAAGATCAAAAATATGAAGGAGAAAAAATGTCGACAAGTTGAGAAATTATTAGATTAGGCATGTCAAAGTCAATGTCATCTTCCGTTTTTCATGCGACTGGGTCTGAGTTCCAAAAATTATACGATTACTATCATTAAATGTCAGACTTTTAATAAATTATAAATTTCAAAAAAACGTCAAACACTTACGTGTGTGCCATAATTTTGTCTTTAGAATTAAATAATGTTTAAGTGTGGTTTAAAGACATTCACATATGGGCTTGTGGTAAATCAGATGAACGAAAAATATACGAGCTTAAAATTTGTAGAGGTACTTGTGTGGTTATGATTTTCTACACCCATGTAATTTCCACCAGAAATAAGATAGGCGTTGACTTGTTCCACCCTGTGCAGAGCGTAATGATGCATCACCGGTCATTCGCTTTCCTACACGGGATACGTGGCAATGAATTTTCTCTCACTCCAGTGATTATAACCCAATTCGTAACCCTGTATAACAGTTCTCCACTACGGGATACCAATCAACTTGAAAGAGTAGAAACACCAATGTCCATAATCAGATTCTGCTGTATCTGCTATGAAAATAAATGATTTGCTATCAAATTATTCTTTGAATTATTGTGGTACATAATGAGAACTGAGCGATATGCCTCAGCAAATATGAATATCGATATTACTCACTGGAAAATATATTTCTGTATACAGAAGAAGGCAATGGCAAACCACTTCTGGATCATCTGCCAAGAACGTATATGAACAGGTCCCAGTCCGAGAAAAGGATGGAAGGATCCTGTTCATAGGGACCTGTCGTCACACAGAACACTAAATAAATAAA